ATTAAATTTTGAAATCAAAACAAAAAATTAATAATGTTGTATAAGTTATATTATTTAAAATATTAAAATATAAATTTTTTGTTATTTAAAATTAATTTTTAATTTTTAAAAAATTTATAATATTATATATGTTAATTAATTTAATAATATAATTTATATTATGATATTAGTTGTAAATTTTTGTGCGCCATCATTACTCATTCATGATCACATCTTCATCCGCGTGTAGTCATTTTCCCATTTTCCCATTTTCCCATTTTCCCATTTTCCTTCAGTTTTCTTCATTAGCACGTCTTCGTGTTTCCTCCTTGACTTTTCTTCCAACGGCAATTCATCTTTGTTCCAAGCTGATTTTGGTTTTCTCTTTTAAATTCTCGACTTCGATTTCACCCAATTTGGGTATGTTTCTTCTAATTTCTATTAGTTTTAGAAAACTCATGCTAGGCAAAAGAGAAGAATCTAACAATTGCCATCGAATTAGTTGTGTATTCGTGGGTTGGATTCTGGTCTAAAACCAGTGCCTCCAAACGAGAATCCAACGGCTTCAGTCATTTTGAGGTTCGATTTAGTCCTAGGATACCAAATTGTGGAGATTTGAGGGAAGCTACTTGGGGTTGAGTGTAGGTATTCTCGCATTGGGTTGTCTGAACTCGATGATATACCGGGTCGGGCCATTTTGATCCGGTCAGGTCATGCCTGAATCCATTTTGTTTGCTCTTGAATCTTGACTTGCGCAACGATGATTTCTTTTTTTTTTTTCTATGTACATTGAGAGTATTATTGGATCTGTTTTTATGTATTTTAAAATCGATAATCTTTCTCAAGATTAATTTAGGATATTTAAAAAATTAATTTGTTTAAGTATTAATAACAGAATTTAAACTTTAAGTCCGGAAAAGGACATTTACTTACCAACAACTACTTTCCATGTTTATAAAATATGCCTGTTCGATTTCCTTGTAAGTGCTCAAATTGAAACAAAGAAATGGGTGCTTTTTCGTTCTTTTTTGCTTCATTTCTGCTCTTTATTTCTCTCAATTTTCATCCTGTACTGTGTCGGGAAGCCGCGGACAGAGGCGGTGATGAGGTGATGAGTACGGAGAGGGAAGCAATAGAAATAATTAACGGTGGAGGCGACACTTCCCGTGCTCCATCTCCTAATTACCCAGGAGGTTGTCAATGCACTACACCTCCTCCCCCTCCTAAGCCTACATGCCCTCCACCCCCACCACCTCCTCCCCCTCCTAAGCCTACATGCCCTCCACCCCCGCCTCCCCCTCCGCCTCCTCCACCACCTCCGCCTCCGCCGCCGCCCTGTTCTAAGTTTGAAAACAAGTTACTCGAAAGAGACTACCACACAATACAGGGATTCGCAAAAAAAATCGAAAGAGACCCATACGGCTACAGGAAAACATGGACGGGAACAAATATCTGCAAATATAGGGGCTTTACATGTGAGAAACTTCCCGACAAGACGAAACTAAATGCCCTCGCCGCAATTGATTTTAATGGTGCTAACTTCGAAGGAAAGGACCTCCGTCTTGATGACTTCCTGGAGAAATTAAGCGAATTAGCCATTTTCCACGCAAATTCAAATAAATTCACAGGTATTGATAATTTATAATTTTGTATTACACATAGAGTACTCTGTTTCTACACATACT